GCAGTACCATAGGATAGACTAATGCCAAGAATTAGAACAGAAAGAAACTTAAGAAGGACAAAATCCTGCTTAGCCATTATTGATGGTGCATAAGCAATCAACAATGAAGTAATTTGACACGGTATTTATTTGATTTCATTATAAAAATCTTTAGATTCTTATCTTCCTATCCTCGTCAGTGGCACGACAAGATAGATTGATTTCAAGTATGATAACACAGAGAAGGTATGAAACAGGAACAAACCTTTATTGACCATCGTTGATTTTTCTGCAACAATGGGGTGATACAAATGTTTTTTTAGTACCATTAATATGTTTTTAAGTTGCATTAATTTGTTTCATTTTCTATTTCCATTTAATCCTCTAAGGATCTGGAGCAATTAATTTTTTTCCACTATTTTTGGTTCATGAATTGAGAAACTTTACAATTTTTAACTATATTAAGATGTTACCTGAAACTGCAAATCATCTTTTCCTTCCCTGACAGGCTGAAACCTAATAATACGGGGGTAAAAAGTTTATATATTTTCAGAACCTGCTAAGAAAATTATAAAGTTGGCTTAATTTAAGTTCAAAAGTAGACAGTGTATTTAGAAGGAAGTGCTGCATGCATATCTCGCAAAATCAAATAAGATTTATAAATAATCATTATGCAGTGCACAAAAGGAAATTTTTCAGTGGTTTTTAAGGTAGGCTAGAGCAGTTAACATGAAAACTGTAGCTGGGGTTTTTAAGGTAGGCTAGAGCAGTTTAGAAACTGCCGCTATTTTCATAGAGTGATTACAGTTTTTCAGAATTTTAGTGTCAGTAAGGAACGTTCTGCTCGTTGAAACACTAGATTGTAAGTCTCCGGCCCAAGAACCATTAGTTCAATAATTTTTTGGATCTAAAAATCCTGATCTCAAAAGTTTAAACTCAAATTATTGCTAATATGTAATATCAGACCTGCATATCTATAATCATGTATAATATTTTTGTGACACAGAATTAGAATATCACAATCTCTACCATTGGAATCTTCAATATTCTTATCAAGAGTACATGTCCAAATCACAAATTGTAATTCAATGTCCACAAAAGTCCAACATCGCACCAAACTGGAGTCAACAAGCTGGCATGTTTTCTAATACCAGTTGTACGAAGAAAAAAAATGTCCAAAGCCCAAGAATCATTGATCTAATAATTTTTTAGATCTAAAGTCTTCGCACTCTAAAGTTTAAATTTAAGTTTTTAATAGTTTGACTTAACCCTTGATTTTATAGATTTTAACTATCATTATCATATCTTTTCAATGTCGGCCGGAATACCAAAACTATAGAGTTCAAAATGTTCAATGTCGCTAAAAAGTTTACACTAGAAAAAAAGATTGCACCATATAACATCAATAACCTTAAAAGAACAAATTAACAAAGAGAAAAAGATTTACATTACTGCAGAGGTTTTATTTTTGGAAAGTAATTGCAATTTATTAAGATTAACAAGGAAACATAACAGAGAGCCCATAAGTATAGTTAACAATACACCAGCAGAAGAAGGCAAAGCCAAAAACTAAGTAAACAAACAGCACAATATAACACATTCAGCTATTTTGAAGTTCAAAAAATGGAGTGAGAAATTATGTGGAAAAGAAGAGAATTTTTTTATTAGCAATTTAAGAATATTACAAAGGTCTAAAGTGTGAGAATTATTGTAACAGATTGCAGCTTGATAGGCAATAGGGTTGCTAATGAAACTAGAAACATTTTAAT